GGGCATAGATGAAGATAGTGACTGAGTAGAAGATGCCCACCACCACCAGGTGGGAGGCACAGGTGGAGAAGGCTTTGTGGCGGGCAGCAGCTGAGGGCATGCAGAGCACAGCCATACCAATGGCCACATAGGAGGCCATGGCCACAAGAAAACAACCCCAGAGAATGACAATGGCTGAGATGAAGTCCACCAGCTCCGTGAGGGCGACGTGGGTGCAGGACAGGTTGAGCAGAGGGGAGACATCACAGAAGAAGTGGTTGAGGACATTGGGGCCACAGTAGGACAGGCTGGCGATGCATGTGGTCTTGGCCACAGAGACCACCAGCCCACCCAGCCAGGAGGACAGGGCCAGGCCCAGGCAGACCTGGGGCCGCATGAGCAGCGGGTAGTGCAGTGGGCGGCAGATGGCCACGTAGCGGTCATAAGCCATGGAGGCCAGGAGGGTGCACTCTGTGCAGATCAGGGAGATGAAGATGGAGAGCTGGGTCATGCAGGCTGTGAAAGGGACATAGAAGGGCCCCGTCCACAGCCCTGCAAGCAGCGTGGGCATGGTCACCGACACGTAGCACATCTCCAGGCTGCTGAGGTTGCCCAGGAAGAAGTACATGGGCTTGCGGAGCTCACTGTGACTGCAGATGAGGTAGATGATGAGCGTGTTCTCCAGGAGGGTGAGCAGGTAGAGGGCCAGGAAGAAGGTGAAGAGGGCTTCCCTGCCACTCAGGCTGGTGGACAGGCCCAGGAGGACGAACTGCTGCACCCTGGTCATGTTGGCTGGCGCCGGGGACGTCTCCATCTAAGAACCAAAGATACCTACAAAATAATTTTGAATCTCTCTATGCATCTTTTCCCATATAAATCCAAAGCATTTCTCACTTGGATCAATGAATAACTTTACATAGAGTCTATCTGCTCTGGACCTCCCCTATATAATCCTCCAGGTAGCAGTTAGTGGGAACTTTAAGTTCATGAGATCATACAGGTTCATGCCTCTGCTTAAAATGCTTCAAATCCCCCTTGCTCCTAGAACAGATAGCAAGTGCCCCATGTGGCCCTTCCAGCCAGTGACCTGGTCCCTCCTGGTTCACTCCCCATGCTTCCTCTTCCCCACCTTCTGCAGCCCCATGGACTCTTCACCCCCCCCCCAAATATCCCAAGGTCCTTCCAGCACCAGAGAATCCCCATGTGAGTTCTCTTCTCTCTGAAACACTGTCTTCCCATTCCTGTTTCTGCCATTTCTAGAAATTCTTGGGATCCTTGTCAGCAATTTCAAGGTCTTGTCCTCAGATGTGCCTGTCTTATTCTCTATTTCTGTACCCCACTACTTCCTGCCAAAGGGATTCTCTTTACGTGAAATTACTTGCATCCCGGTCCAGTTGTTCATTGTCTCTGCAGCTGGGTTGTAAGTCCCCTGAGGGTGGAAAGTCTGAATCATTCAGGATTCTATGCCCCACTTTTCACAAAGGAGCATTGGTCCTGGTACATTAAATGTGTTCAGCAGAAGTGTGTACTGCATGGCCGATCAAAGTGGAATTTGCAGACTTTGCTCCTCTGAGGAGGCACCAAAAAAAAATTATAGGGCATTGGCTTGAAGCACTGGGACTCCTCCAAGGTGACCTTGAACTTCAACTCATGGTTGTTGAATGTAAGGGACACAATGTGAAAACAATACTGGATTTGGCTTAAAACATTCTGCCTTGTCTGCCTATTAAAATCTCTAGCATGTAGTTGGATTTGGGCAAGCCTCGATTTTCTCCTCCATAAAATGGGAAGGATGATATTGGTTCCATAAGATGCTGTGAAGATTGCATAAGGAAATGAAAGAGAAAGTTCTATACAACGGCTATTACTTTTTATATACTTGGATCAGTTCTTTTCTAGGTGGCCCTCAAAAAACTACCCGGAAAAAAAGCTACAGGGAACTTTAGTAGTTCTGCACACCTTGGAGTAGAAAAGCCTTTTTATCTCTCTTATTTAAGTTTGATTCACTTACTGATTTTTTTATGTTTAATGTGAATTTTACTACCATTAGAGAAGAGAATTAGCTATGGTGATTTGCTAGAAAATTGTTCTTTTTAGTAGCTTTATTGAGTGACTGTATCACGTTTTATTTGCCAGGCTCATCTTGATGGATATTGGATTTTTCCCATCACCTGATCCTATCCACAATGCCATGTATCTCATCTTTGCACGTTTCCATGCGCTCTTGAGATCACACCCACAAGAGCCCATTCTAGAAGCACTGTGATCCCACCCATGTGTATGCTCGTTTGAACTTCTGAAAGAGTGAGATTTACACTCCCAGAAGTTGTCTGTCAACTATTAGAAATGTACGGCAATGCCAGTTTCCCTATATCTCTATATTTCCCTATACCCATCATGTGCATCATTACTTTCTGATCTTTGCAACCTTGATAAGCAATAAAGATATACATTGGTGGTTTTCAATGTGTACTTGTTTTACTATGATATAAACAATGTCCTCATATGTTTAAAATTAATTTGCATTTCCTTTTACCCAAACTGTTTGCTCCTGTGCCTTGTCCATTTCATTTCCTGGATTGAATCTTTTTATTAATTTTTTACTGTAAATATTTTAATATGAAGAACTGGGATCCAAAAGGCTAAGCTTTTGCTGAAGACCATGCAGTGTGGAAGTGCTGAAGCGGTACTGCACCCAGAGGCTGCCTGGGAACAATGACAGAGGCATATGGTTCCAGAGAATGCGTTGGGGTCCACCAACATTACCAGACTCACTGAGATGTCTCACCCTGGAGGAAAGAAGGTATGGGACTAATAATTAATTGGGGAAATCTCAAATTTTATTCATGGGCTATTAGATTGTTGATGACTCTTTCTTTCTTTCTTTCTTTCTCTTTTTTTGGTACTGGGAATTGAACTCAGGGCCTCCAACTTGCCAGGCAGGCACTGTGCCACTGAGCTACATCCCCAGACCTACATTGTTGACGTTGGAAGTGTCTTGGTAACTATCTATTCTAATTCACTGAGAACATAAGTGAAGAAAATGAGGAACAAGACAAAATCTTTTCCCATCAAGATCCTCCCCAGCCTTTATCCTCCATTGCTTTGTGAGTTTCTGTCTCCTCCATCTTTAAAATTATCTCTTGGTTCTGACCCCCATGGAATTTCTCTGTGCAGATATCCTATGTGCAACACTAACAAGCCAGTTCATTCAACATTTCTGATTCACTATTTCTTCATATACACCATGAGGATGACCACAATTTATCTGATGGAGCCTTTTGAGAGTCCTTCACAAAACTAGAGATTCTAGGAAGGAAGTTCCTTATTCAAGCCACAAAGTGATTGTCGGTACTGTTAGCATCAACTTGTATTTGTTAACATTGGAGCTGTTGGTTTTGAAATTATTAAAGGACTCATCATATTATCAAAAAGTAGGATATGTACTACTAATGTAGGATGACTTTAGGTGGCAGGTAGACATGATATTGATTCACCAAATGTGATTGCTATCTTTTGCAAATTCTTTTCTGATCATAGTTATTATATCAAGAAAAAAATCTCATATTGGTACTAATGTGCTTTAGTTTCACACTGACACTTTCTAAACTTTCCTCTTAAGAAATAGGGAGGCACCTCTACTCTTTTTAGCAGTTTGAGTTGTAGAGCTAGAACTAGGACACTTTGCCATTGTTTTATTCTGTCAGATTTTGCTTCTATGGTCACCTTGCATTTGTGGGAAGTGGTACTGACTTTTTTCCTCTCTAGAAAGGAATATAATTTCCCCTTAATATAATTTGTGTAAGGAAAATAAATTGTTTAAAGAAAAATGTTAAGTAAACAACAGCCCACATTGCCTAGAGGTATAGCAGGAATTTGGAAAATGACCATTGAGTGTTTGGAGCTTAGGAAATTCTGGGCCGGTGCTCCTTAATATTGCAGATAAAATGAATGATAAATCAATGCCTTTAGTTGCTGACAGAGCTGCAGAGAGCTCTGTATTGAGCCCAGGCTCAACCACAGATGCATGTGCAGCAGGGTGCAGCTTTCCCAAGCCCTGAAACGAGCAACCTGCTTTGGCTCTAAGGTGGTTCACACCCAGAGAGTCACCCTTGAGCTTCTCTTCTGCAGTCTCCTCTATGCCCAGCAGCTGTACTGGTCCCAAATAAAGACCATGTTGATGTTTGTTCTGTCCTCGCCTGTCTTCTGCCTTCAATGGGTGTTTTTTAAAAAGTGAAACAGACACATCACTGAAGCCTGGACTTACCAGTTCTACCTGAGAGTCATTGGAGCAGATCTCTTCACTTCTCTGAGCCCTAGTTGGTTCAAAAATAACTGCAGATTCTGGGTGCTGAAATAAACATTGGACCCAAAATAATTTTCATTTTTGGAATTTAGTAAATGCCAATTATTGTGTGATTTATACCCACCACAGCACTGACAGATAAGTATCAGTGCCCCCATTTTAAAGACATAGAAATGAAGGACTAAAGAGTTGAGTTTTCCCCCCAATCCCTCATCAATAAATAGTAAAACACAGATTCAGCTCCCTGGGTCTGGTTGGGTTCCTAATCCCTAATTTTCTTCCTTCTGTCTTGGAACATTTTAATGAAAATTAATTATTTTAGGAAAACATGTTGGCCAAAGAGGAAAAGAAAACTCTTCTCCCACTTTAGGAATGAAATTATAGGGCCAGAAAGCTATTGGAAAGCACTAAGCTTGACGTCCTCACTTTGTGAAGGTGGAAGCAAATTATCTACATGGAAGGCAGCATTGCTGCTGCTACGACAGTGAGCTGCCCCAGATGCAGATGTGAAGCAGCTGCAGCACTGTCCGCAGCTAAGATGCTATAGGTAGGGTCCTATCTCATTGTCCCGGTGAACTTGAACGGTTAGCTTCCTTAGCCCCATTTTCCCAATGCAGAATGAGAGACTCAGAAAATAGAAAGTATTAATTTGTTCAAGGTCCCTCCACAAATTATGGAGCTGGGACTCCAGTTTGGTTACAGATGAAGATTTACATCATGGAGTCATATTCATCTCCTACTTTATTTCTCTGGATCTCAACGCTCATGATTATGGATCTAACTTCACAGAAAATGCTTAATGCTCAAATAAGTCTGTTTCCTTTGATCTGATAAAGAATGGAGCTGTCCCACGTCCTGATTCTCATCTGCGGTAGAGCCTCCTACCCTGAGCTGTCCTTGTTGCTAAAACGGCTTCCAGGAGACCCTCGCTTCGTGTCGCTGTCCTTGGTCCTGAAATCACCCCAGGCGCCCTGGCTTAGGAGAGAGCTGGCCTGGTTCTGAAGCTCCATCTCGAGCTTGTTCGTGAGTCTTGGTCCCCAAACCACCCAGCAGCCGCACCCGGCAGGCTCCCTGGGCCTGTCCTTGGTCCTGAATATGACCTCGGCCAAGCAGCTTTAGCCTTGGCTGGCTAGACTCTCCTTGATTCTAAGGAACCCCTCAGTGTCCTGAGACTTCCTCTCCCCTACCAGGGCTCTTCCATGCTCTGCTTACTCCCCATTTCTCCTTCTGTTTTCAAAGCTTCTCTTCGACTCTGCTCCGTCTCCTTTGTTAACGAGGACTCTCATGGCTCAGACTGCTCAGCTTGCCATGTTGCACACCAAGAGGGAACTTTTATGCTCTGTGATGTAAGAACAAATAAAGTCAATTTCAAAAGTCACTCTTGTAACTCTTCTAACCAGAATCAATACCCAAGGTCAGTTTGGTATTGTGGTTTCCCCCTGTAAACTTCCCCTGGCATCCTCAGTGCCCCATGCACTATGAATGCAAAGCAGGACTGTGGGGATGTA